CTAGGAGGGCTTTCTTTAGAGAGAAAGAGTTTATAAGCCAAGGAAAAAGTGGGAGGCAAGTTGACCTTGAAGAAATTCAAGAGTCAAGCGGTGAAGGAACTTCAAACCCTAGCACTCAACCTGAGGAGGAAACTCCTGTTGAGCCAATTGACAAGTCCGTACCTCTGAGGCGTTCCACAAGGGTTAGGCATGCTCCTGAGCATTACTATGGATTCCATATTACTGCAGAAGGAGATACACTTATCAGTGATGAGACACTGATAGGTCTGGATGAACCTAACAGTTACGCGGAAGCCATGGCAGGCCCTGAGTCAGCCAAGTGGAAAGAGGCAATGGATAGCGAGATACAATCCATGTATGACAATCAAGTTTGGAACTTGGTTGAAAATGTACCAGGTCGTATGACAGTGGGGTGCAAATGGATCTTCAAGAAGAAGACCGGCATGGATAGTAATGTACACACTTATAAGGCTAGACTAGTTGCAAAGGGGTTCTCTCAAATTCCTGGAGTGGATTATGATGAGACCTTTTCTCCAGTAGCCAAGATTAAGTCAATTAGGGTTATGTTATCCATAGCTGCATTTCATGACTATGAAATTTGGCAAATGGATGTCAAAACCGCTTTCCTTAATGGAAAGTTGGCTGAAGATGTTTACATGAGTCAGCCAGAAGGTTTTGTCAGCAACAAGTACCCTAATAGAGTGTGTAAGCTTGTGAAATCCATTTATGGATTGAAGCAAGCACCTCGCAGATGGAATCTTTGCTTTGATGAAAAGGTCAAGGAATTTGGCTTTTCTAGGAGTGAAGATGAATCTTGTGTGTATGTCAAGGCTAGTGGGAGTATAGTTAGCTTTTTGGTATTGTATGTGGATGACATACTACTCATAGGAAATGACATCCCAACTCTGCAGGAAGTTAAGTCCTGGCTTGGGAAGTGTTTCTCTATGAAGGACCTAGGAGAAGCTGCCTATATTCTAGGGATAAGGATCTTGAGAGATCGGAGTAAAAGACTAATTGGACTTAGTCAGAGTACCTACTTGGATAAGGTGCTGAAGAGATTCGGCATGCAGGATTCCAAGAAAGGAGAGTTACCCATCTAGAGTAACGCCAGATTGAGTAAGACACAAAGCCCTAGCATTGAGGCTGAGATAGCAGAAATGAGTCGAATACCTTATGCTTCGGCTGTAGGATCGATCATGTATGCTATGACGTGTACTCGAACTGATGTAGCCTTTTCCCTAAGCATGGTTAGCAGGTATCAGGGGAACCCTGGCAAGGCACACTGGATTACGGTAAAGAATATCCTTAAGTACCTACGGAGGACTAGGGACTGGGTCCTTACCCTCGGTGGGAGTGATGACTTGAGAGTTGTAGGGTATAGTGATGCTAGCTTCCAGACTGATAGGGATAATTTCCGCTCTCAGTCGGGCTGGGTCTTTACCCTAAACGGAGGAGCAATTTCTTGGAAGAGTTCCAAGCAAGAGACAGTGGCTGATTCAACTTGTGAATCAGAATATATTGCAGCTAACGAGGCGGCAAAGGAGGCGATATGGCTGAAGAACTTCATTGGAGACCTTGGAGTTGTACCAGCTATTAAAGAGCCAATGGAAATTTTATGTGATAGTGAAAGCGCTGTTGCCTTAGCCAAGGAACCAAGGGATCACGGGAGATCCAGACACATCGACAGAAAATACCATTTTATCAGACATCGAATCGAAGAAGGACTCCTCGTGGCAAAGAGGGTATCATCAGATGAGAATCCGGCAGATCCCCTCACGAAGGGACTGACTCGGGTTAAGCATCTCCAGCATGCTCGGAGCATAGGGCTGAAGGATGATATTAGATTTAGTAGTTAGATAACCTCGAAATTTGTAAAGTGTAATTGACATTAGATGATGAATAAAAAGTTTTTTATTTATGAGTAAAGTGTTGCTATCTCTTGTCGATCGTTTACTATATTTCTTTTGCATGTTTTGACTTCCAGAATAATCTTTGTTTGGTATAACATATTATTGAAACCTCCACAGTCGGTCATATGTCGGATGTAGGTATGAATCAAGACTGTCATGTTTGGTTGTAGAGGTCTAAGGTGTTGGACAAGGCTACAAAAATCATGCGTGCTCATAAGTTCTGTGCATTGGACTCAACCCACGCTCACTAGAATCACTTCATCGAATTCTATCTCGAGTGATCGTGAGACGGTAATATCATATAAGTCTTCAAACCTAGAGATATGATTTGTTACTTACAAGTTGGTTATGCATTGATTGTACGAAAACGCATTGGTAACTCGATGTTTATAAAACGTGCTTTTGTGTGTAATTCAATGAGTGGTAGAACAAACATATGAATCGAAGTTTATCTGTTCCTTCTTGGACTAGAAGCTGATATCTGGGCCCCTCGATGATTTTGTTTTGACCTATGTACCGGGCCCGGTCAGAACTAAGTTGATGTGTTCAATTAAGTTCTTTGTCAAACAAATCGGAAATCGGGAAACAAACTACTGGACAATAAGTAAGACATTGTTCCATTTATTTTGTCCGGCTGATATCTAGAACGGAGGATTATATGATCCCGTATCTTAAATGGCGTACCATCATCTTCTCAGTTCCGAGAAACCTTGAAAGAGCTACGATTGCCGGTCGGTTCCTGAAGTACTAAAGTTATAGTTATTAGACTTATCCAAGTGGGAGACTGTTGGATAAGGTGTCTAAGTCCATAACTATTTCTGGTGTGTACTTGACCCGACCCGGCATGGTCCATTTGGGTTGCATGGCACCATGCAATTGGATAGACTAAATGAGAGAAATAACACTTGGAGATTATTAATATATTATAAGTTCTAATATATTAATAATATTATTTGATTAGTTTGATCAAGAATTAATTTAGAATTAATTAAGTGATCAAGAGATAACTAATTAAATATATGGGTTGATTATGTAAATCATTCATATCTTGTATAGTGGGCTAAGAGGCTCCATGGATTATCAAGTTGGGTTCTACCCATAGGATGCTCCATGGATGCTCCATGGGAGTTACAAACCCATGGGTCATGGAAATGAAGAGTCATGACACATTAGGGTTTACATGGTGTAACCCTAGATGTGTCATATAAGAGTCCCATTCTCCACAAAATTGGCTACACACAATACACTATATGAAACAAGAGGGCTAGGCCGATTTCAAGGAGTGTGAATTCTCTCAAAAGTCTTTCCAAGAGCATTTGGTGTTGTGTGAAGCATTTGAGGCATCACACTTGGGGTGCTAGGCTCACAAGGTTTCAAGGAACATAAGCAACAACAAGGTAAGTTATTCTATCTTTCATTCAAGTAAAAAGTTGTTCCCCATGTATGCTAGATAGGAATATAACCTTGGAATTCAACTTTGCATGATAATTAGACAAACATAGATCTAAGGTTATTAGGGTTGCATGTACACTTAGGAAGTGTTAGAATGCTCAAAACCCATCAGATTGAGCTCCAGGAGCTTGGACCTATTGCCTTTATGGAGCCATAGTGCATGAAAGCCCTAGATCTACTCTTTTGGTGCATTTTGAGCCCTAAAACCCTCATGGGTGTTTATTTACACGTAAAGTTGGAAACTTTACGTGTAAACCAGGCCCTAGAAACCCAGATCTATGAATGGCATGGGTTAGATTCAAGCAGAATCGTGTGTATAGTAATTACATGCGGTAGACTCGGCGAGTCGAGTCGTGAGTCCCCGAGCCTTCCCCCTTTTTGTGTTTGCGGGATGGAGTAGTGAGTCATAGGGTGTGACTCAGTGGGTTGGAAGCCAGACTCACTCACGTAGTAACTCGGCGAGTCAATGCCATGACTCGGCGAGTTCAAGGCAATCTTCTTGCCTCAAGAACGGACTCGACGAGTCTCAGCATAGAGTGTTCTTTAGATGAAGATGAACTCGACGAGTTGTTCAGACAACTCGGCGAGTAGAATGAATAACGTTGGGTCATCAACTTAGAAGGAAAACTCGTTGAGTCAATGCCAAACTCGACGAGTAGAGATGGGATAGTGGTCAGACAAAGGGATAGGGACTCAGTGAGTTGGCAAGCCAACTCGGCGAGTCGGGTCAACTGGAAGTTGACTTTGACTTTGACTCATGGTTTGGTTAAGGGTAAATGGTCAGTTTACCCTGAGGTCGGTTAGCAGTATTTGACTAAATGTTTGGTGGGAATTGAAGCCGGAGGATTTCCGGAGCAGCAGCAGCAGCAGACAGACAGTTCCCACACAGAGCAGCAGCTACGAGGTGAGTTACCTTCCAGTAGCGGTGGGTCTACGGCCACAATGCCGGCCCACTAGTAGGAGTTGTATGATAGATGATGGTCTCCGTGATATTCATCTAGGGTTGCTACTACCTGTGTTATGTTTATGTGCTAGTATGATACGATGCTATGTGATATGTGTTATATGGTAGTAGTAGGGGGTGAAATAGTCCCCAGTATTCGGTCACAAGGACCGAAGGGGTAGGTCGGGCGCCCAGATATGCCCGGCAGTATTCGGTTGCAAGGACCAAAGGGGTAGGTCGGGCACCCAGATATGCCCGGCAGTATTCGGTCGCAAGGACCGAAGGGGTAGGTCGGGCACCCAGATATGCCCGGCAGTATTCGGTCGCAAGGACCGAAGGGGTAGGTCGGGCACCCAGATATGCCCGCCAGTATATGTATGTTATGTGATTTTATGGTATGTGGTACAGTGGGGGGACTCACTAAGCTTCGTGCTTACAGTTTTCAGTTTTGGTTTCAGGTACCTATTCTTCGAAGGGGAAAGAGTTGGCGCGGTAGCGGCCCATCACACACACGCTTTGTATTCCGCACTATGAGATTTTCCTGGGAATTGTCCTATGACGTTGTTATGTTTTTATAAACTGATTTCCAGACACGCACTCTTTTATGAATGATATGGTCGGTGTATGTTTATTACTAATGTTTTGCTAATTATATGTTTTAAAAAATGAAATTTTTGGCTCGTATTTTTGGGATGTTACACAGAGAAATCAAACATCAATGGACATCGATGGAAAACAAGTATCCGAAGCTTGTTGGAGCATTGAAGTGATCCAGGGAGCAACGGATACTGCATATTTTCATACACTATAACTTCAAGATTTTCCTTTTTTTTAGAAAAATCTTCAGGAAACTTAAGCGACTTATCTCCATGCATAAGTCTCAAAAGTGCAAGGTTTGGGTACTTAGAGTCACTAGGAAACTCAGACATACCCGTGCAAGTAATAAAGATTCTTTTGCAAGACTCGCTCATTTCAGCACTACTCCACTCTAAATTATCACCATGATTAATTACCCATGGATGGTCACCCTTAGAAACTCTACCTAAAACAAAATCAAGCACAAGATCATGCATTTTGACACACCCAATGTAATCGCTATCCATCAACAAATTTGCTTTTTTGAGACTCTGCACACACGTGTCTGTCCTGTCTCTAGCCTCTCCAAAAGTAGAAACTCCATTTAACAGCCGTAGGCCCCATGCATATCTTGTGAGTTCCTCGATTGGAATATTAAAGTCATCGGGAAACAAGCCACAAAGAAGAAAAATATGTTTTTCATCCTCTTCTTTTATATAGTCGTAGCTTATCTTAATACTTTCTTGCACATAATCAAGATTTTTATTCTCCAAACGGCGGAGTGTATCTCTCCATGCAACCTTTTCTTCAAACTTAAGACGAATGGCAATGAGATTAATGGCAAGGGGCAAAAACCCACATCTTCTCACAATCTTTGTTCTTATTTTATTGAGCTCCTTATCATGTTGTTTTAAAGCACCTGTAATTTTCCAAAAGAAGTTCTGTGCTTCGGGTTCCTCCATCACTTCCACTCTAACTATTTTCAAATCTGAATAACCTGCTGCAATTTCTGTGCAAATTTTTTCATACCGTGATGTCAGCAACAACTTGAAGCCGTTAGGCAAAGGATTAAGTCCAATATCATTGAGTTTAATCATCTCCCATACATCATCCAATATCACCAAAACCTTTTGTTCTCTTTCTGCCATGTTCGTAAATGATATACGAAGACGTTCTGCCCTTGTTGTTGTATTCATTTCAGTTAGAGGTAGACTTATGTATTCAGCCAAAGCTTGCTGAATAGAAAACATGTTTATCTGTTGCCCAATAACCACCTTCAGAACATAATCAAACATTTTTGTATCTCCTGCAGTCTTTTTCAGTTGTTCCATCATCATGGTTCTTCCCACACCACCCATACCACATATGGCTATCATTTGGATCTTGTGATTTCGTTGAAGGAACCCAAGCGTATCCTTGAAAGTCTTCTCTCTTGATTTGAAGTGATTTTGGGCATCACCATCCGAAGGTGCAAAACTGGATGCGATTTTCGAGTTCACTTTCCCAAGAGGTTTTGGAGCATCTGTCCAAATTATCTTACTATTTTCATCCATAAGACTTTCCATCTCCTCCTTAATCTTGAATGCATTCCTACCTGCTCGATACCTAATTTTCATGTTGAAACATCCATTCCCGGTGCTTGAAATGATTTGAGCCTCTATTTTAATCTTTTCAACCTCTTCCAACCAACCCGGTACACGAGTAGGTATCTCCAGATAACTTCTATTGTCTGCGTCCATGTGCTTTTTGACATCACTACTTGTAAAATCCAGCTGCTTCATTTTAGTATTCATGTTCCTAACATGTTTTGTGGAGGAAAAGAGATATCCCAACTGTTTCTTCATAGGAACCATTAATGATTCAACAATAGGACCACTGATTGTAGATACAAACTCCATCTTCCAATATTCTAGCTTCTGATGTGACCTGCACACCATGTGACAAATCAACAGAAGGGATGAAATTGTTAAAAGTTGTTAATTAGTATATATTTATTCATATTTTCATTACTAATTTGCAGAGCTATCTTTTTTTTTTGTCAAATATCATTATAATCCATTGATAATTATTAGCATTCAAAAATTTTCCTTCAATATTTAGATGTATGTGTATGAGAAGAGGAAGAGCGCACATAACACGTTTGGTTAGAAAAGAAAGTGTGTGGTGTGTTATGAATATATGTGTAGAAAAGAAAAAAAATTGTGGGAAAATAACGTTTATGTAAATTCAGACAAGTCTAGTGATCTCAATTACTCTTTCATGTATCTTTCACTTTCAACTTTACCGGCCTTTTTGTTGAACAGATTGGTCACGGCCTAACCTTTGTAGATATTATACTCCTGCCTTCTTTTTATCATCTAATTATTCTTGAATGAGAGTAGGTAATCGAAAGGCCTCAATTTGTATATCAACACACATGGATGTATTCCTTGGAGGTGAATGGGACATTGAAGCAATATAGGTAAGATTCTCTGTTTATATTCTTTTCATGGTATTCGAGCCGTGAAGAGCTTGTTGGGTTTTAGGATTTTAGCCCATAAGGAAAAGCCCAATCTGTTTGACCCACATATATATAAGTATTTTCTTGTTATGAATCATACTTAATATGTCTTTAAGTTAATAGATAATAAGTATTTTATATTCTAGGAAGTTATCTTGTTTCCGTTTTTAATTTTGGTAACTAGGATCTTTTATTATTTGAGTCGATTTTAGAAGTCTTTGTTTCCTGATTTGAGTCTTTTGTTTATCCCTATTTAAAGGGTAGTCATTCATGAATAAGATATGTTGGAATTTGAAAACAATTAATAGAGTAATATTAGGTTAATAGCTTAGTTTAGTCTCCTGCAAACAGGAGGCTAGGTTAAAGGGGAGTTCATGGCTTTTTCAGGCACTAGCACTGATCCTGTCACGAGGTCTAGATCCCGGGTCATAACAAATTTGGTATCAGAGCCGCTCATGATGTCGACACAATAGGAAGAGCTGAAGAAGAAATTGGAAGCGTTCATGATCCAGCAAACATAAAGCAACAATGATTGGAAGACAAGTACCAATGATTTAAAGGCGGCTATGACAGCCTTGCAGACTAAGCAAGCAGTGATGGAAGAGAGATTGCAAACCCTAACCCAAAACAAATCCAAAAGACAAGAAGAAGATGATGAGAGCATGGACAAGATGTTCGAGTCTGATAGATTTGATGACCCATCGGAACAGGTGCATGGAAGAGGACGTGGCGCCACTTTTGGTGCCAATCCAAACAGTAAGTTTTTCGTACTAAGGAGGCTTCGCTGGAAGAGGTAAGGGTTTGATTCAGGAAGGAGCAGGAAGAGGATCAAGTAAGGCTTTTGAATGATGGCGGACAGGTGAACACCAACCTTTCAAACACCACTGGGACTCCCTCAAACCAGAAGGGTCAAATAGAATGGATAGGGGGCACCAAAAAACTGGGAAGAGACGGAAGATATGGGATACCGTGGGGGATGAGTTCCGAGATTCGCCAAGATGGAGTTTCCCACATATGATGGGAAGGGTAATCCAGTCGAATGGCTTCAAAGATGTGAAGACTTCTTTGAAGAACAACAGACCCCTACTGAAGCTTGGGTTAGGCAAGCCACCTTTTCACTACAAGGTTGGGCTAGTGGGTGGTACCATAACCTGCGAAGAATGAAGACCCGCTTGAATTGGTTTGAGTTCTCAGAAGAGTGCAAAATCAAATTTGGACCCCTGATGAGCATGAACCCGTTAGGTGAGTTAACTCGATTAAGGCAAACAGGTACGGTAGATGACTATTGAAGGCTTTGAGTTGCTGCTAGGGCGAATGACGAGTGTGACTCCGGAGCAAAGCATTTGGCATTTTTGTGCAGGTTTGACTAATGCTATCCGTTATGAAGTAGAGTTTGCTAGACCCACCACACTATACTATGCTATGAACCTAGCCAGACAGATTGAGTTCAAACTCGCGGAGGAGGGACGACCAAGGAGTTTTGGAGCACCTCCATTAACTGGGAATCAACCCTCGGCAGGAAGCAAAAACCGAGAGTCAGCAAGGTGGAGCCGAAAAAGTGAAATTTGAAGTGCGGAACCCGGCTTTGAAACGGCTTACGGCTACAGAGATGGCAGAAAGGAGAGCAAAAGGATTATGCTTTAACTGTGATGATATGTTCTTGATCGACCATAAGTGTGTGAAACTGTTTGGTATCATGTTGGAGGATGAAGAAGATGTTACTTGGGATGATCGTGCTGTTTTTACCAACACATACTCAGGTTTTGAGCTTGCGGACAAGCTCAATGCAAAGGAAGGGAGTAATGTTATGAATCGTACTTGGTAGGTCTTTAAGTTAATAGATAATAAGTATTTTATATTCTAGGAAATTATCTTGTTTCCGTTTTTAATTTTGGTAACTAGGATCTTTTATTATTTGAGTCGATTTTAGAAGTCTTTGTTTCCTGATTTGAGTCTTTTGTTTATCCCTATTTAAAGGGTAGTCATTCATGAAATAAGATATGCTGGAATTTGAAAACAATTAATAAAGTAATATTAGGTTAATAGCTTAGTTTAGTCTCCTGCAAACAGGAGGCTAGGTTACAGGGGAGTTCACGGCTTTTTTAGGCACTAGCATTGGTCCTGTCACGAGGTCTAGATCCCGGGTCATAACATTTCTTGAAAACTATACATCCTCTATGTTCCCGGGTTTAACTCTAATTTGATATTTGTGCATCAATTATTAGTCAATTGCAACTGTTTTGTTCATATAACTCCTAAATTGTATGCTATATAAGATCACAATTCAATGAAGGTGACTGGTGCAGGTGAAAGAGAAGGGGATATATCAAATTCTCTTGATCTTTGGCATAAGTAATCCCTCATGAAGTAAGTCTTAATAATAGAGATACTATGATAACTACAAATTGTGAAGTGTGTGACTGTGCAAAACAGTATCTGAGAAAAATTTGCATTACCCAAAATGATATGGGAGTATCTCATCTTGTGGTGCATATATTATGGCCTTGCCTTTATTTTTATATATCTAAATCTGGAGTGAGATTAGGTAACCCATAGGTTTCAGTTTGTATATAAACACACAAGAATGTATTCTTCTTAGATGAATAAGACAGCAATACATTATGCACAAAATTCTCTGTTTATACTTTTTCACTTTGTTTTCTTTGCAGTGATTGAACAATTGAATTTAAGTTGAAAATCTTTCATATCTAAGACATTCCTGTACCTACTTGGAAACAGAGTCCCACTACACTCGTAAAATTACGGGGGATTTATAACGGCTAATAGGCTAATACTGATCTCTAGTATGAAGCATATATCATAATAAAATGACTCCTTCATAACACTGTTCAATAATCTAACCAGAGAAAATGAATAGGCGTTTTCAGCTTATTTAACATTTGAGTTGATTTTATCTGTAGAACATACACACAATCCACAAGGACCACAACAAGTAGCAAACTAAACTTGATTCCAGATATCTAGTCAAGGTTCGATATATTTGAAATGGCAAACAACAAATTCAAGTAATAGATTGGTGGTATACATATATAGGACATTTTGCACAAAATCGTACCTGATCTGTTCTATGAGACTGTGCGAATGCTTGCAATGTTGCTGGTGGTGCTACTTTGCAAAAATTCTAATGGTGTAGAAGAAGACCACTGATTGAACAACTATATACTACACTGCCTCAGTTATTGCTTTTGCCTACGTATATATCATGGATTTGGGTGAGTGGAGGACAAAATTTTCCATTTGTGCTTAAAGTTTCTGGATAGCCTTATCCAAACATAGGTAAATGTAATAATCTTTTATACATTGTAATAATCCTTCAAATATGTTAATATTTGGAAATTAGTTATCACATTTTATAAATCAGCACTAAACTATTTATTTTTTTCATAACATGATATGGTAGGTAATTGTAAGGTGTTCGTTTGGATAGATCAGTTCCTAATAGTTCAAACTAAATTCAAATTTTGATCCGAAATTTGGTTGAATTGGTTTTTACAATTCAGTTTTTAAGAGGTAAGACATTTTAAATAATATATAACTTAAATATTAGCCAACTCTATAAAAATATATAAAAAAAAAAATTTAGTTATGAATTATAATTTATAAACACCTATTAAGAAAATTTGATTATAGTTTAATATTGTATTCACAAAAAACATTCGATAATAAGTACATATTATGGTATTATAAATGATTAAAGAAATATATTAAAAATAAATAATAGACAAAACTTCAAAAATGGTCCCTGTGGTTTTCGAAAATATCAAGTTTAGTCTCTAAGTTCAAAAAACCTCACAGGTGGTCCCTATGGTTTCAAAACTTTTAACAAATGGTCCTTTTCGCTAACACCGTTAACATTTGACCGTTAAGTGAAGGGCATTTCAGTCATTTCACCACCACAGGGACCATTTATGAAGTTTGCCATATTTTTAAAAAAAAGAACAAAAATATAATTATTTAATATTAAAGGGCTCTCTCTCTCTCTCATCATTGTTCATATATTGATCAATAAATCAAAGCCACGAAGATCATCATTAAATTAAAATATATATCTTAAATCAATACATATCAGGAGCACTAAATCAAACCCAAAGGATTTAGTTCACATCGTCATCAACCAGGAACGTTACAACAAAACATAGATCTTGAACATGTACATGCAAAAGAGAAAGAAATCAAAAACAACCACCACAAATATCCCAAGATATCAAGAACAAAACTCAGAAAAATCATAAGAAATCAAAACATAATTCATAAAACTCCCTTATCGGTCAAACACACACAAAACCAAAACCATAAACTAAGAAAACTCACCTGTAACTGTTGGGTTTTGAGCAATCTAACACTTCCTAAGGGTGCATGCAACTCTAATAAACCTTGGATCTATGTTTGTCTAAATACATGCAAAATAATAAATTT